CTGCCTAACGCAGGGTTAGTGTGACAGGTGACGGTGACAACCTGCCCTGCTCTTGGGGACTGCTGGAGAAGGCACACCCAGCCCCCAGCCAGGGGCAGAGCAGCTCAGGAGAAACAGAGAAGAGGCCAACAGGACATCAGAGAGGAGCCGTGGAGCTCTGTGCTCCTGCATCCAGAGGGATGGAGCTCGGCTGGGGCTGGAACGGCTCCCACCAGAGCCCACCTGGGCACGGCCAGGGGCTGCCGAGCCCCAACCTGACGGTGCTGCACACCCGGGACGAGGAGCTGGCCAAGGCCGAGGTCGGGGTGCTGGGCACCATCCTGGCCGTGGCCACCGTGGGCAACGCGGGCGTGCTGCTGGCCATGTACCGGCTGAGGAGGAAGATGAGCCGCATGCACCTCTTCATCCTGCACCTGGGGCTGAGCGACCTGGGCGTGGCCCTGTTCCAGGTGCTGCCGCAGCTCCTCTGGAAGGTCACCTACCGCTTCCTGGGGCCCGACCCCCTCTGCAGGGCCGTCAAGTACCTGCAGGTGCTCAGCATGTTCGCCTCCACCTACATGCTGATGGTGATGACCCTGGACCGCTACCTGGCCGTGTGCCACCCGCTGCAGTCGCTGCAGCAGCCCGGCCGCCAGGCTTACACCATGATCGGGGCCACCTGGCTGCTCAGCTGCCTGCTCAGCCTGCCCCAGGTGTTCATCTTCTCGCTGCGGGAGGTGCGCCCGGGCTCGGGGGTGCTGGACTGCTGGGCGGATTTCGGGTACCCGTGGGGAGCGCGCGCCTACGTCACCTGGACCACGCTGTGCATCTTCGTGCTGCCCGTGGGCGTCCTCAGCGTCTGCTACAGCCTCATCTGCCACGAGATCTGCAAGAACCTCAAGGGCAAGACCCAGAGCGGCGCCCCTGGCACGGGGGCAGCGGCGGTGGGTGCCCCTGCCAGGCCTGGCTCCGGAGGGAAGGGCGGGCAGCCCTCGCGGGTGAGCAGCGTGCGCACCATCTCCCGCGCCAAGATCCGCACGGTGAAGATGACCTTCGTCATCGTGGCCGCCTATGTCACCTGCTGGGCGCCCTTCTTCAGCGTGCAGATGTGGTCAGTGTGGGACCACGATGCTCCTGATGATGGTGAGTGGTGAGGGGAGTGGGGCACAGAGCCCCGGGAATGCCAGGAATGCAGCTGGGTTTTTAAGAAATAAGAGCTGTCTGTCGTCTTGTCATTTAAAAATAAAAATCATGGGGAAGGCTACAGGTTTCCTCCCCTGTAATGCACAAAATTTCCTCTCCTGTAAATGTATAAAATACAAAACAGGTTACTTCTCCTGTAATGCACAAAATTTCCCCTCCTGTAAATGTATAAAATACAAAACAGGTTTCCTCCCCTGTAATGCATAAAATTTCCTCTCTTGTAAATGTATAAAAGACAATACAGGTTTCCTCCCCTGTAATGCATAAAATTGCCTCCCCTGTAAATGTATAAAATACAATTTTCAGAGTCAGGTCATTCCTTTCAGAAAAAAACACTGAAAAGTGATGATTTCTGGCCATCATCCATAGGGATGTGCTAAGACATCTTTGCCTCATGTGTGTCTTTCCTCTCCTCCAGGGATTTTAGAGGTTTCAGAAGTGGATTTCTGAGTTCATATGTTGAATTTTTTTCCCCTGTAAATCTTCAGTAGTTTTCCTAACTACTGAAGTAGTACTATAGTATACTCCTAGAAAAGGGGACTTCCCCCAAGATTGAAAGTGCTCTGGGAGGTGCTTTGGGCAGCAGAGAGGTTGAAGGAAAGCCCAGAAGCTGCTGGGTCTCACCTCCCAGAGGATGTGCTCCAGCACACTGGCACTGCAGAACCTGGAGGGTTCAGGCTCTGCCAGCTTTCCATCCCCCAGGAATGCCAGCGGGATGGGAATGTGAGCCAGGAGAGCCCCCAGCTCTGCCCACTGCCCAGCCTGACCCTGCCCAGCCCCTGGGGATGTTTCACCTCTCTCTCTTTCCTCTCCAGAGTCCACCAACGTGGCTTTCAGCATCACCATGCTGCTGGCCAGCCTCAGCAGCTGCTGCAACCCCTGGATCTACCTGTTCTTCAGCGGGCACCTCCTGCAGGACGCCGGGCGCTGCCGGGGCTGCTGGGGCCGCCCCCGGGCCGGGCTGCGCAGACCCAACTCCACCGGGAGCCTGTGCAGCAGGAAAACCACGATCCTGAGCCACAGCCACCAGGCCGGGCTCCCCCTGAGCGGGGACAGCGCCAGGGAGCTGTACCCGCCCTGCGACGAGGCCCTGACGGAGTCGGGCACGCTCTAGGCTGCGGAGGTGGCAGCTGTGACACGGCCAGGTGTGACACGGCCAGGTGTGACACGGCTGGTGTGACACGGCCAGGTGTGACACGGCCAGGTGTGACACGGCTGGTGTGACACGGCTGGTGTGACACGGCCAGGTGTGAAACTGCCAGGTGTGACACGGCTGGTGTGACACGGCTGGTGTGACACGGCTGGTGTGACATGGTGAGGTGTGACACGGCCGGTGTGAAACTGCCAGGTGTGACACAGTCAGTGTGACATGGCCAGGTGTGACTCTGCCCGGTGTGACTCTGCCCGGTGTGACTCTGCCAGGTGTGACACTGCCAGGTGTGACTCCGCCAGGTGTGACACCGCTCGCTCTCGCTGCAGAGCGCGCTCTCCCCACCTGGTGGCTCCGCGTTTTGCAGAAACCGCGCTGTTTCACCCAGAAAAGCGTCGCGTCCGCCTTGTCCTCGCTGCCCTGTGTGCCGGGGATGGACAGAGCCCCTCCGGCCGCTGAGCACAGCATCCACCCCCACCCGTGTTTAGGGAAACCTCTGGCTGCAGCCTCCGGGGAGGGATCCTGCAACCTCTGGGATCAGGGGATCCTGCATCCTCCGGGAACAGGAGATCCTGCATCCTCCGGGATCAGGGAATCCTGAACCCTCCAGGAAGGGATCCTGCATCCTTCAGGATCAGGGGATCCTGCAATCTCCGGGAAGGGATGCTGCAGCCTCTGGGAAGAGGTCCTGCACCCTTCGGGAACAGGGGATCCTGAACCCTTCGGGAACAGGGGATCCTGCACCCTTCAGGATCAGGGGGTCCTGCACTCTTCGGGAACAGGGGACGCTGCATCCACAAAATCCTCCTGGAGGGAGCGGACTTTTGTGTTCCCAGCTGCCAGCAGAGCAGCCGGAGCACGGCGGGCGGCAACGCGGCTCCATCTGCCCCAGAGTCGCCGCCGCTTCCTCCTCTCGCATCCTCGGGGCGTTGCTGGCCGAGCGGACAGCGGGGACAGAGCTGTCCCCCTGCGGGGCTGCACAGCTCCTGTGGCCTGGAACTGCTCCCCTGCCACCTCCCCCGGGCCAGGGACGGGGCTGTCGCGTCCCCTGGTGCTGGGCACAGCTGTCCTGCACCACGCTGTGCCTGCTGGAGCGCCCCAAATGCGGCACTGGCACCCCCGAGGAGCTGCTGGGAGCAGCCCTGGCCCTCCTCCAGCTCCGCCGGGCACATCCTGCTCCCCCCGTGCCCTCTTCCCATCAGCTCTGCTCCAGCCCCATCCTGTGCTCAACATCTGCTGCATCCCAGGGAGCTGCTCTCACCCTGCTGCTGCTTTTGGCTGATTTTGCAGGGATCAGGGGCGCAAACCCACCCGGGGCTCAGGGAGCAGGGAACCCGCTTCTCCTGCAGTCTCAGCCTGGCCCCTGCCCTGCTCCTAGGAGCTGTTTTGTGCAGGAATAAATCATGGATGAGGCAGGAAAGAGCATCCATTAGCTCAGTCGAGCTCAAAAGCTGCTGAGGGTGATGCACAGGTGGCCCAGCAAAGGTTCCAAATTCCCTGCGAGCCATGGGCACTATTCCTTCCACTATCACAGGCTAAAGCTGTAAAAATAAAACATTAAGAGTAAAATATTTTGAAATCTTCAATATTTTCACTTTTTAATCGCCAGGCATTTGAATCAGATTTCTCAGAAGCTTCCACTCACTGGTTTTGGCCTCACCTCCAGTCCCACAAACCTCTCCCGGGTTTTCCAATGTTACCCAGGAATTGTTGGGGTTTTTGGAACATTTTCCTTCACGTGCCCTTCGAGCTGGGCCAGATTTGCACCACAAGGTCATGAAAGCAGGAGTGCCTGGCTCCCCGTGCCACTGATCAATCCCAAGTCAATTATCTCACAACCTTTCATTAAATCACAGCACTACTGAGCCCGTTTAAAATGCACTTGCGGCAGCTCCAGCCCTGGGAAGAGGAGGCAGCAGCTCCATCCCTCCCTGTGCTGGGAGGCAGCAGCTCCATCCCCCTCCCAGAGCTCCCACTGGGCATTGTTCTCATTCCCAGGCACTTTGGAAGTTTATTTCTGGAAAATTCAGAAGTAACAAAATGCAGAGTGAGGAGCAGGGACATGGCCCAGGTGGGGAGAGACAAACCACAGTATCTGGAGTGGGGACAAAGCAGGGAAAGCAAAAGGTGGGAGACAGGGAGAGGAAAAAGGCAGTGGAAAAAATGTATTTAAAAGGATTTTATGAGGCTGATGAGCAAAACAACAACACTGAGAGGAGCTGCCAGCCAGCTCAGTGCAGGTTTGAGGATCTCTGCATCTCCCTCCCTGAACTGCCCATTTTGAGAGGCAAGGAGGGAATGTTTCTTTTGCTTTCATGAAACGAGGGAAAAAGGGCCATGACACAGAAGTGGAGAGCTGATTGCAGCCTGGCTGGGAGGAACCCTCCCCTGCCCCACCCCACAGCCCTCAGGAACAGTGGAGCCTTTAAGGAAAAGCCAAGGAAGCTGTGCCTGCGGGCTGGGGTGGTACAAGTGCTGCAGCCCGTGCCAGGCAGTGCCCCAGGGGAAGGGGACAGTGCCAGCTGTGCAGCTGCTGGGGGCTCTGGGCACCTCTGAGCAGCAGTACCCTGGTGTGGCAGCTTCACCCTGGTGTGGCAGCTTCACTCTGTTGTGACAGCTTCACATCAGTGTCACAGCTCCACATCAGTGTCACAGCTTCACCCTGGTGTCACAGCTTCACCTCGGTGTACTCCACACCCCTGGATGCCCTGGGGCTGGAGAAGGGCCAGAAATGTGTTTTCCTCTTCTTTGGGTCCACGTTGACATAATCCATCCCAGTCTTCACGTTCTCGTAGTCCTGGGCAGAGCCTCGCTCGTGGCTTTTCCCTGGGAACACCAGGGATGTGTAATTGATGGTTTCCCCTGAGCTAGGGCCCTGCAGGAGCAAAATGAAGCCCAGGTCAGGCCCCAGCACCCACTCAGGAGCCTTTGTCCTCGAGCCCATGCACCAGTTCAGGGAATCATGGAATGGGTTGGGTTGGAAGGGACTTTATGCCCATCCCCTTCCCCCTGCCATGGTAGGGACACCTTCCACCATCCCAGGCTGCTCTAAGCCCCATCCAGCCTGACCTTGGACACTGCCAGGGATCCAGGGGCAGCCACAGCTGCTCTGGGCACCCTGTGCCAGGGCCTGCCCACCCTCAGAGAGAAGATTTTGTTTCCTAATTTTCCTAAAGTGCCCAGGAATGCTTCCCTCTGAATGGGGGACACTGGAATGCTGCGTGTGACAGGGGACAAGAACCACCCCAGACCATCCCAGGCTGCTCTAAGCCCCATCCAGCCTGACCTTGGACACTGCCAGGGATCCAGGGACAGCCACAGCTGCTCTGGGCACCCTGTGCGAGGGCCTGCCCACCCTCAGAGAGAAGATTTTGTTTCCTAATTTTCCTAAAGTGCCCAGGAATGCTTCCCTCTGAATGGGGGACACTGGAATGCTGCGTGTGACAGGGGACAAGAACCACCCCAGCCCTTATCTATGGAATTTCAATGTGGTTTGATGGATTTGCCCCTCCTGATGCTGCTCCAGAGCTGGACACAGCACCAGGTGGGCTGGGGATGATTTGCCTGTGGTACCTGAGGGCAGGAAGGGTTGTCTGAGTCCTCCGAGGTGTCTGAGGATGTGTCACTGCTGGATGTGCTGTGTCCTTAAAAACAGGAAACATTTACCACCCCAGCACTTCCCAGAGGGTTACAGGGGGAAAAAAGGATCAAGGGAGAAAAAGCAAACATGCTTAGAAGTGAAATTGTGATCCACAAAGCATCAGTTTGATCCCTCCCAGCCTCACTTCCCTGGGAGAAACTGGCAGGGAGAGCCCAGCTGGATGGGAACAATGGGAACAGGAGGCAGCTCCTGCTTGGCCCTTCTCCCACCCCGGGGGTGTCCAGAGCTCATAAGGAAGAGACATCACACAAATGCCACCCAAAAATTCCCATCCCTGTGCCAGGAAAACACCCCATTGCTGCAGAGCCCCTTACCTTCGTAGGCTGGTGATGGTGATGGTTTTTGTGTCCCGGGTTGTTTTTGTGTCCCAGGCTGTTTTTGTGTCCCAGGCTGTTTTTGTGTCCCGGGCTGTTTTTGTGCCCTGGGGTGTTTTTGTGCCACGTCCCCTCCTGGCGCTGAGGCTGGAGCTGGGGTGGGGTGAGGGCTGGGATGCTCCCCTGGGCTGCTGCTCTCCTGCATCCTGCAGGAATGCTGGGCTGTGACCAAGAGGAGAGTGAGCCCTGGTCCCTGCTGTGCCCAGAGCACCCCACCCTGCTCCAGCAGCCCCAGTGCAAACCAGCCCACCCCAAAAGAATGATTGCTGTGCACTGGAGCAGGCTCATATCCATCCATTCAATTACTGAGATGATCCAGGGCCCTGTTCTCCCCACAGGAGAGGCTCCAGTGACAAATCACAGTGTCAGGGCCTCGTCTTGCAAGTTTGGAATGATTTTGACCCAAAGCAGAGCTGGGCTCTGTGCAAATGTGAGCAGCAGTTGGTGTGAAAGAATTCCCTGCTAGAAATTGAGGCTTGATCTGAATTAATACTGTGAGCTGATTCTTGGTATTTTCCCAGCACTTTGCTAAAATAGCAATAAAAGAAAACGGTTTTGAAGAAACACAAGGTTGTACAACGCTCACTGATGTGTACAACCATGTCACCCATGTCACCACAGCTCACAGCCAGCCCAGCCCAGCCCTGCCCTGCCCCTTTCCCATCCCACACCCACCCCAAACCAGGAAATCACCAGGGAAAGCCATTTTTAATTACCAATCTTCCTGCTGAGCATGGTGTAAAGGGCCAGCAGGAGGAGAGGGTAGAGGATCAAAGTGACAAGTGAGGTGACAGCAGGAATCCAGCTGAACAAGAGAAAACCATTCAGTCTCAGTGAAATCACCAAATTCTTTTCAATCCCCCCATGGCTTCAAGGCACATTTTAGACTCAGATTTGCTGGTAGCTTTCAGTTTTGCTTTTTGGTTTGGGGTGATGTGGCCCAAAATGAGGAGCTTGGTTTTCAAGAATGATTTGAGTTCCTTGCCCCTCGTTTTTGGGGCCTGTCCCCAGAAGTGTTTTCAAAAGCCTCCAGAGAGGGCATGTGGTGCTGGAGGGGAGAGAGACATGACAGATATGATGGAATTATAGAACTGTGGAATGATGGAATGGGTTGGGACCTTTGAAGGTCACCCCCTGCCATGAGCAGGGACATTTTCAGCCACCCCCAGCCTGGCCTGGGGTGGTCCCAGGGGTGCTGTGAAGGGCTCTGTGCCCCAGGGTGCTGCACTCACCACGCACAAAGGCTCATCCTCCTGCTGAGGCGTCTCCAGGGCCTGGGGGGACATAGACAGGCAGCAGGACCTGCTGGCAACCAAAAAAATGGTCCCACTGAGCCTCACGCTGCTCCACAGGAGCTGGAGATCAGGCTCAGCACTTGGAAGCAGCGGTTGGATGTGGCAGATGTGAAATAAAGGTTTTTTATTTTATCCCAGCCCTCCCCCTGTGAGAATCCCTCTGGTTCACACCCTCACAGAGCCATGGGCTGTCCCTTATCACTGAATTCATGGCTTTATACATGCTCATATCTGAGACTTGTCTGGACTTTCTGGGCTCCACCACAACAGAATTGAAATTTGTTCTTGCTTTAATTGTCCCTCATGGTTTGTTTTGTTTTATTTTCCTTTTCTCTTCTTAATCCACCAAAAAGAAAAAAAAAAAAAAAAAAAAAAAAAAAAAAAAAAAAGGAAGAAAACTAGAAGATGAAGAAAAAAAATCCATGGAAAAAGTAACCAAAGGAAGGTCGTGGGTTGCTGTGAGACTCTTGTATCAGTGAAGGTCCAGACAGAAATATCAGAGGCCCTCCAACACCTCAGTGTCTGAAACACCTCGTATTTAATACTGTGAGAGCTTCAACCCCTCTGAGGTTAAGAGGGTTTAAGGCAGAAAATCAGAAAACACCAATGCCTGGGCTGGGCCCCTTGGCCTGGGACTTCTGGACATAAGAGATTTATAAAAAAAGATAGGGGTGTTCATTTTGTAAAAATAGCAGTGGCCTATTCCTTTTGTGAGCTTTCACTTGCAAAAAAAGCACTTTAAATCCTCTCTCAGTGTTATACACTCGCTATTTATAAATGGCTGATAGGGAGAGATCTTCAGCTGAGGCTTTGATACAGTGATTAAAGCAGCCATGATAATTTGATTGATAGGCTGATGGATAAATTGATAGAGCAAAGGCATTATCCATCCTGTGGAACAGATTCTATCATTTCCTCTATGACACATTTCTGAGCCTAATTCATCAAAAGCTTGTCTGATAACCACCAATCTCCTGCAAAATTCCACTCAGGCAAACAGTTTGATGACTGCCAAGCTGAAAGTTCATTTTTTGCAGAAATGTTCCCCCTCCCTTACTGAATAAATCTGTCCCCAAATAGCCTTCTCAAAGGGCTGCCACTCTTGAAAGGCTCATTTCCTACTGTGGGGCAGGAGACGCTGCTGCAGCAGCAGATAAGGATCTGAAAAATGAGCTGTTCAAAAGGAAATTGCAAAATAAGCCCCAAATCCAACTATCAGCAGCTTCTGTGCCGAGGTGGGCATGGCGAGATGGAGGCACAGATATCGGGTGGGTACCGAAAAATCTGATTTGAGACAGCAGCCAGTGAGAGCCTGGCACCAAACGTGCTTTTTTGGGGGCCTCAGGGAACTTCTGTGAGCCTGCAGCCTCCAGGACTTCAACCCTTTCTCAAGAAAATGCTGAAATCAAGGCTGGCAGGGAGCTGCTCCTTGGCCGGGCAGCGAGGGTCAACCTGAGGCATCTGTGCTCAGCTAAACATGACTGAAAGCTCCAGAACAACCCAAATTATTTTAATCCCACTTGAGTCAGGCCCAGCTGGCTCACTGGAGCTCAGGATGGCACCAACACGTGCCCAGGGGGATTCCCAGCCCAGCTCTGCTCCCGCCGTGCCACCCTCTGCTTCGCGCGCCATCGCGCCCAGAGCGCGGTGCCCAACGCGGGCTTACCTGGGCTCAGAGCTTTCCAGCCTTCCCTTCCCCACGGCTCAGGGCAGCTGGGGCCCTGCAGGCAGCAGGATTTGGGGCCGTTTCAGCAGGATTTGGGGCCGTTTCAGCAGGGTTTGGGTGCAGAGCAGGGTCTGGCAGTGCGGCCGTGCCGGATGCGGTCACGCTCTACCCCCAGGTCGGAGACACCAAGGAGCTCACACGAGTTCCATGACACCTCCCCTCTGTCAGCAGCCTCATTTAAATATATTGGGGTGTTTCTCTGCTGTTCTGCAGCTGTTTTGCTGCTGCACCCCTCCATCAATTCTCTGTCTTTCAGCAGCTTTGTCCCAAAATTCAGCTGAGCTTCCTTGGAGCCAAGAGGTGCTGGGGGAGCTGTGCTCAGTTCAACTCAGCTGCCACCCAAAACGAGCTCTGGGTGCTTCCAAGCAAACATTTTCCACAGGGATGAAGCATTTTACACCGCCTGGCTCCATGGCTGCTGGGGGTGGCTGGGCCTCCACATGCCCACACTCTGGAAAATGTTCTGCAAGCTTTGGGGTGCAAGCAGCAGCCTGGCAGATCCCATCCTGAGAGTTCCCAGGAGGTTTGGGGAGTGCTGGCTGCTGGTTTATAGGAACTGTGGGGTTTGTAGCTCTGGAGGTGCCCTGGCAGAAAGGAACAAGAAATTCCCTTTTTTTCAAGGTGCCTGACTCACGGTGATGGTGCCTGCTCGCCTTTCAACATCCCCACCAGCCCGCAGCAATCCTGTCCCAGGGACATAACATCCCAAAGAATCCCCCTGGATCATCTAAAAGCAAAAGGAAGATTTCAAAAAGCATCACCTACCCCTGGAGCAGCATCACAAGTTGGCGTCACTTCACAAATTCCCCTTCATCCCTGGGTCTGCTCCCACCAGCTCCATCAACAGATGTTGGTCCTGCTCCCCTCACAGCTGCTGCACCCCAGGTAAATATTTCGGGGTTTATTTAACTGAAACTTGCTTGTTTGTTGATTTTTTTTCAGGTGAGAGTTTGCTGGTGCAGCGCTTTCAAGTGCTCGGTGGTGGATAAACAGATTAACAGGTGGGAGAAGTGTCTGATAAAGGCAGGAAAAAAGGGTTTTTTACAAAACACTGCTGGGGCACAGTGTGAATCAGCCAGGGCAGTGGCTCCACTAAAGGAAATGTGTAAGAAGGAACACAGATAACACATTTTTAGCCTAAGAACAGGTTTTTTAAATAAAGAAAGTGCTTCACACAGAGCTGGTGACAGGTATTTTTTCTGCCCAAGGGGCAAAACCCATTTCTGATCCAACTGTGTGGCCCTGGAGGGGTGGGACACAGCTGGGGACAGCCCCTGCCTGGCAGAGGCCATTCCTTTCTTACCAGGCTGGGATGTTGCAGGAGCTGGGGTCACCTTTCCTCAATTTCTCCAGAGCAGCACAGGCTGGCCCTGCCAAGCTGAGCGACACCAAGGCTTGGAAATTGGGCATCTCCTCCCTCTGCATTCCACACATGGAGGTACAGCTGGAATATGTACGAAACAGAGCCTTTTTGACCCAATTTTCTGTGCAAATCCAGCCCGGTTGCTCCCAAAACATAGAGGGAAAAAAAACCCTTACCACTTTGTTCTACTTCAAATAACAATTTTGAAGTGCTCCTAAGAGTTGAGCTTTTAAAATTGCTTCTAAAATAACTCAAAAGTCGAAATAGATTTGCTTAGCTGCAAAAATTTCTAAATGAAAGGTCTGGCCTCGTTATGACTTTCATCTTCATATTTTAATGCTGAATCCGCTGCCAGGAGTTTGCAGATTATGATGATCCAATTGGGGGATCTTTTCCACAAAATAAACTATTTCACTTAAAGTGTTTGGCATGTCTGTGCTGCTGCTCACCCTCATGTTTATCTCCAAAGCCCAGTGACCCTTCAGGCTGGGTTTTCTGATAGGATTTTCGGGTTATAAACCATGTCTGGAACAATCCACTTGCTGTTTTCAGCTTATCTGGCACTTGCTGCAGCTGCTTTTGTTTTAGGAAGTTTCTTTCTAATCCATGAATATGTGATTAGGACAAGGAGGGAGGCTGGTACATTAAACTGCATCTCAAAAGGGGAAATAGAGAATAAATTTGTATAAAAGCCACTCGTTAAAAAAAAATACTGCAGCGTGGGGGAATGCAGGGAATTTTCATTTGTTTTGAAAAAACAGCTGCATTTGCCATCGGCATCAACTGTGCTGTGCCCAACATTTTCCTGCTCACATCGAGAAATATTTGGTGGATTTTTTAAAGCTTAATCTGCCCACAAAGCTGGGGGGAGAAGGCGCCTGGCAGCATCTCCAGGGATGGGGACACAAGATCCCGGAGACAGCAGGACGTGACTCAGCTGTCCCCAGGCACCCTCGGTACCTGTGCCTCACAGATGAGGACTTTAATTTCCTGGGCGAGGGCTTTAATGAGATAAAATTTAATTAGATAAAACAGACTCGCTGGGACAAACAAAAAATTGATTAGCACGGTGCTAAAGCCTGTTCATCACGTGAATGGGGCTCGCTGAGCAGAACACCCCCTTTAGCACCCAAAACCATGCCAAAACCATGGAAAATAAGGACAGCATGGAAAATAAGGGCCTGGGAGATGGTGGCAGCAGGAAAACCCTCGCCTGCCCCTACTCGCTCCCCCCATGTCTGAAGGCTTTATTTGTTCATCAGCATTTTCTGTTTGCACTCGCTGAGGCTTTAATGAGACCCGTCCTGGGTGAAACAAAACTCCCAGGGGACGAGCCCATTAGTGCCTGCACAGCACCAGGGAGCTGTCTCCCTTGGAAAGCTGCTCCTTCCCAGCCTTTGGAAGGGAAAGTTGAGGATTCCCGAGCTGTTCATCATCACTAATTAGTCTTTGCCTTTTAAAATTAGGTTAGTGGCCGATGGTACAAACACATCCCTTTCCTGCACCTCCCTGCAGCTGCCGGGCTTTGGGGCACCCCACGGCCATGGCAGCTCCCCAGGGTGGGGCTGTGGGGTGAAGGAGAAGGGAAATGTTCCTCTAAAGCATTTTGGGGGGTTTCCACCCCTGGATAAGGAGCTGGTGCTGGGATGGGAACTGGTGCTGGGATGGAGAACCCATTCTGCTCGCTCTCAAGTGGGACCTCCTGCCCCAAAATCAGCCAAACCTGCCCCTACCCAGCTCCCACAGGCCCCCCAGCACCGTCCTCACCCAGAAAAGCAAACGTGACCCCGGAGTGCCCGCTCAGCCTCGCCTGGGCCGTGGTCTGTGATTCATCGTGGGAGCCCGAGCCCAGTGTTGACTCTGGCAGGGCTGTTATCGAGCTTGGCACCGTGGGTATAAGAGCGGCACCACGGCGGGCACAGCACCGCGGCGGGCACTGCCAGCATCCACGCCATGAGGCGCCTGCTGCTCCTCGCCACGCTCTGCCTGGCCCTGGCCAGCGCCCTGAGGAGGTAAGGGGGTCCCCAGTGTCCCCAGGGTCTGGGGGGTTCATTGCCAGGGCTGTGACGGGTGGCAGAGCTCAGCCTGTGCGGGAGTGGTGGCACCACGCTGGCATTTCTGGGTGCTCCGTCCCTCTGGGCAGAGCCTGGCAGCAGCAGGAGGGGCTGCGAAGGGGTTTGTGCAAGCAGGGAGGGCAGAAAGAACCAGTCTGGATTCCCCTTGGCTCTGCTCACCCTGCCCAGCCCCAAGGTCCTTTCCCTCTGTGGCATCGGGACAGTGACAGCCTGTGCTGTCACTGCCAGGGCCTGGGCGCTCTCCTGCCAGCTCTGGCCTTGATTTCCTGTGCCATAAAACACATCCAGTGCCCCTCTTCTGCTGTGCCTCGGCTGGAAATTGTTGCAGGGCGGGGATGTGGGCTCCGAACCTCCATCCTGGCAGTGCCTCGGGGTAGGGGCACAGGACATGGGCAGCATCCAGGGGAGTGACCAGGACCCTGAGGGTGGGCAAACAATCTGGGGCAGCACCCACAGGAGTGCCCAGAACCCTCAGGGTGAGCACAGGATGTGGGCAGCACCTCCATGAGTGCCCAGGGCCCTCAGGGTGGGCACAGAAACATCAGGGTGGGCACAGCACCTGCGGCAGTGCCCAGCACCCTCAGGGTGGGCACAGAAACATCAGGATGGGCACAGCACCCATGGCAGTGCCCAGGACCCTCAGGGTGGGCACAGCACCCACAGCAGTGCCCAGGACCCGCAGGATGGGCACAGCACCCTCAGGATGGGCACAGCACCTGCGGCAGTGCCCAGCACCCTTAGGGTGGGCACAGCACCCACGGGTGGGCACAGCACCTGCGGCAGTGCCCAGCACCCTCAGGGTGGGCACAGCACCCTCAGCGTGGTCACAGCACCCACAGCAGTACCAGAGCCCTCAGGGTGGGCACAACGCCTCCATGAGTGCCCAGCACCCTGAGGGTGGGCACAGCACCCTCAGGGTGGGCACAGCAGCCAGGGCAGTGCCCAGGGCCCTCAGGGTGGGCACAGCACTCTCAGGATGGTCACAGCACGCAGGGCAGTGCCCAGGGCCCTCAGGGTGGGCACAGCACCCTCAGGGTGGGCACAGCACCCGCGGCAGTGACCGGCCCTTCCCCGCAGGGTGCCCCTGAGCCGGCGCCGCTCGCTGCGGAAGCTGCTGCGGGAGCGGGGGCAGCTCTCGCACCTCTGGAGGGCCCGGGGCGGGCCGGACGCGAGCAGCGAGGACTGCGCCGTCTTCGCGGAGACCAACGAGCCCCTCATCAACTACCTGGACGTGAGCAGGAGGCACAGCGGGCTGGCAGCACCCTCAGTTTACCCGAGCAGTGCCCGAGGCCCAAGCGCTGCCCAAACCCCACGGTTCCAGGCAGTGCCCGGCGTGCCAGGGCTCGCTGCCCGCCCGGCCCTTTGTCCCCCGGGATGTGAGGAGGAGGACAAGCGAGGGCATTCATGGCAGGCACTGCCAGCCCCTTCCCTCCCTGCCGCCTTCTGCCCGCCTCCCTGGGGACAGATTTACTCCAAAATTCAAGTTATTCAGGGCAGAGCCCCCCGCAGAGATGGAGGGAGCTCCCCAGGAGAATCCCATTCCCCAGTTCCCCTGTCCCCAAAGCCCTGCCTGGTGATGAGGGTTCCCTCAGGGCCCAGCCTTGCCTGGAAGAGGCAGAGGCCTGTACCCAACATGCTGCCTTTTGTCCTCAGTCCCCACTGTTGTTCCTTAAATATTTGTCTCCTTTATTCCACCTGGCACGGCACAGATCAAACACTGAGCCCCATCCGTGCCCTGCAGACACCCCAGGCTCTGTTTTGCTGGTATTTCTGGCTGTGCTGGTGGCTCACGGTGTTCTCTGCCTCCCTCTTTGGCAGATGGAGTATTTTGGGCAGATCTCCATCGGGACACCCCCCCAGAATTTCACCGTGGTGTTCGACACAGGCTCCTCCAACCTCTGGGTGCCTTCTATCTACTGTGTCAGCAAAGCCTGTGGTGAGTGGGGAGCCCCTGACCCCAGAGAGGCCACGAGCCACCAGCCCCAAGGCCATGGGGACCCTCCTAACAGAGGTGACAGAAATCCAGCAGTGAAAGCAGGAGTGACAGCTCAGCAGGGGACAAATGTGGCTTTTTGGGGCTGTCAGGGACCAGCTAGCCCCAGAAAGCCCAGAGGGACCAGAGCATCCCCGAGCAGCCCCAGGGCTGTCCCTGAGCCCAGTGGGAATTCAGGAATGGGACTGAATCCTGCTGGGAAATGGGGAATGGGACTGGATCCTGCAGGGAGTTGGGGAATGGACTGGATCCTGCAGGGAGTTGGGGAATGGACTGGATCCTGCAGTTCCATGGGAATGCTGCTGGCTGTAACCAGGGACAGCAGCGCTCATCTCAGGACTGAGATGCTGAAATGCTGCTGATCCTGCTCCCCCTAACAGCCCTTGCACCCTTCATCAGACTGAAATGAGAGAGGTTTTCTCCCCTCTCAAAACTCCAGCAGGTACCTCAGCAGAGCCCCCCATAACCAGGAGTTTTGGTGACACTATGCTGTGCCATCATTTTGCCTCACTGGGGGCTCCTGTCACCTGTGGCAATGCAAAAAAATTACATTTCTGGTGAAGGATCCCATTTCCTTCCCCAGCTGAGCACAGCAGGTTCCAGCCAACCCAGTCCAGCACCTACCAGGTGATAGGGACCCCTTTCTCCATCCAGTACGGCACCGGGAGCCTGACGGGGATCATCGGATCCGACCAAGTAGCCGTGAGTGACCTTTGGGTTGCCCTGCTCTTGGACAATGTGCCTGGGACTTGCCCACGGGCTCGGCCCCCCCACAGAACCCCCTCCTCCCTGCAGGTCGAGGGTCTGGCCGTGAGCAACCAGCAGTTTGCAGAGAGCATCAGTGAGCCGGGAAAAACCTTCCTGGATGCTGAGTTCGATGGGATCCTGGGGCTGGCTTACCCCTCCCTGGCCGTGGATGGGGTCACCCCTGTCTTCGACAACATGATGGCCCAAAATTTGGTGGAGCTGCCCATTTTCTCTGTCTACATGAGCTCGTACGGACATGGCTTTGCTCTGGGATGTTGCTTGGGGTCTGGCATTGCTTTAGGGAGCAGGAGGAGCTGCTAAAATACAGATATTTTACTGAGATCATGAAGTGGGGTTTGGTACCAGATTGAGCATTGCAGACCTCTGGCCTTGCAGCACTTGTGGGGAGAAAGTTGGGGTAAATTCATGCTGAATAGACAAAATCCCTCATGTGTCTTGCTCCTCCTCCTCCCTGCAGGAACCCTGACTCCCCCCAGGGAGGAGAGGTGCTTTTTGGGGGCTATGACACCTCCCGCTTCACGGGCACCCTGAACTGGGTGCCAGTCACCCAGCAGGGCTACTGGCAGATCCAGCTGGACAAGTGAGTGGTGCTGGGCCGGGAGGGAGGGCAGGGCTGGGCTGGGCTGGCAGAGCATGACAAATCCCTCCTGCTCCTTCTCCCCTCTTCCAGCATCCAGCTGGGTGGGACAGTGACCTTCTGTGCCAACGGCTGCCAGGCCATCGTGGACACTGGGACGTCGCTCATCACGGGCCCCACCAAGGAGATCAAAAAACTGCAAAACCTCATTGGGGCTGTGTCTGTGGATGGAGAGGTGAGAGCCAGGGTGGGGACAGGAGGGGACAAAGCCTTGGGGACCCTTCCCTGCTGGAAGGGACCCTCCTGGGCAGCCCCTTAGCCCCCGGTTCTGTTCCAGTACACTGTGGAGTGCAGCAACCTCAGCGTGATGCCTGACCTGACCTTCACCATCAACGGGCTGCCCTACACGCTCAGCGCCCAGGCTTACACCCTCGTGGTATGGCTGTGCCTCCCCCAACCCCAAATCCCAGCTGCTCCAGTGGCAAAGGTGGCCCAGCCCCATGCCAGGAGCTGGCAGTGTGTCCCCACGGGTGACAAACCCCGCCGGTTTCTGCTTCGCCACCGTTCCTGGGTGTTTCCATGTGCACGAGGCTCTCGGCTTCATCCCCAGCTTTGCACTTCTCCTCCCCCAGGAGTACGCTGATGGCATGGCCTTCTGCACCAGTGGCTTCCTGGGCAGCGACATCCCCCCTCCCACAGGACCCCTCTGGATTTTGGGAGATGTTTTCATCCGTCAGTTCTACTCTGTCTTTGACCGTGGGAATAACATGGTGGGGTTGGCCCCTGCTGTCCCTTAGGGCTGTGACATCCGTGGGGCAGGAGAGGAACGGACCTTGGCAGGGCAGTGGATGTCACTCCTCAGTGTCTCCAGGGGGCTGAAGACACCCAGGGATGCAGTGAAGAGTCCAGCAGAGGTTCAGTCCACACCAGGACACTGTGATATAAAAATGTCTCGAGCAGATCTGTGATCTGCTCTGCACATTCCCTCTTTTTGAATCCTGAGCCAATAAAAGTATCAATAAACCCAAACTTCTCATGCTTCTGTCAGCAGCAGCCCAGCAGAAACGCTACACATCTCAAAGGGGGTTAAATCCTCCTTGCCCATGTCCTGCTCTCCTCCCTGGGTGATCCATGGCACTGCCAGGGCTGCACTCCCAGCCTGGCTGGAGTTTCCCTGGGATTTCCACAGGAGCAGAAAGAAGGGGATGCTTGGCCCAGGTAGAGCAGAAGTCCCTGGAGGTGGCTGTGGCCATCCCTGAGCATCCCAGGGCCAGGGCAGGGGCCGAGGGAGCACTGGGAATGCACCTTTCCTCAGCTGGGGCTGGTAAACAAGAAGGTAACAAGGAGACAGGAAAGACCCTGGGGCTCTTTCTGTGCCACAAAACTCCTGGAGCCACCGGTGATTTCCAGTGAAATTCGCTTTGATTCCCTTGGGGAAATCACAACACAATGTGCTTGATGTATCCTTGAAGCAAAAAGGGCAAAGCAGCTGCTGAGCCCTGGGCTGGCCTGGCTCAAAGTGTGGGGGGCTGGCCACGGGAGTCCCCAGGAGTCACAGTGGCACACGTGACTTGCTGACGGGAGTGTGACAACGCACGAGTGGCAGTGGCTCACGAGTGATGCACCCTGAGGCAGCGAGAAAGGGAAGCACAAAAAAGGTTATTTTTATCCAGGCCTTTGCTCTGTTTCCCCCACTGACCCTGAAGCGAGGCCGGCAGTGCCAAGGCTGAGCTGCTGGAGTGTCCACGTCCCAGCCCAGCCTGGTGGCTGCTCCATCCCTCCCGGAGCAGAGCAGTCTTCAGGGCTGGCTCTGGGAGCTCTGGAATATTCAGATCTGGTTGTAAACTTTGTGGCTGAGCCCTGTGGTTTGCAATAAAGGGAGATATCTGCCTTGCCCAGAGGTACTGATTGTGCCGCTGACCAGTGTGGGCTCTGTGACGTTTCCTGTGTTGACTTCACCCCTGCTGCAGTCCCAGATAAGGTGCTGGAGCTGCTGGACAAAGGTCTTCTGTCCCTTTTCCACCTTAACCCTTAGCATGCCAAGGTGCTGCTGAGCATGAGCCCAGGGGCTGGGCGGGGGAGCATCCAGCTCCCCCAGCATGACAGGGGCCACCCAGTGTCCCCAAACAGCAGCTGGCAGTGAGAGCTGGCCTGGCCTGGAGTTGCCCAGGACTGCTCTGGTGCTGTGTTTTTGGGATTTCAGGGCATTCCATGCCCTCTTTACAGGTTTAGGGGGGAAGTTGCTCAAACAAATATGAGCATCCCAATAAAGAGCGACCCTGCTGTTCCCCAAGGAGGCTGAACTGCACAGGGAACACTTGGATGTCCTTTGCTTCCTTCCCTTTCCCTCACTCCCACGGCCCTGCAGGGCACAGCCTGTCCCCATAAGCCTTTCCCCCAGCTGTGTCAGCCCCAGCCTGGGTTTCATCACCTTCCTCACAGTCACAGGCCACAAAACCCACGCCTTTTCCTCAGAACTGCTGATGTGGGGGAGCAGCCAGGACAGGAATGAAGCTGTGGTCGCTGGAGCTGCTGAGTGACGCCTTGGCCATCACCTCCTCCCCACCACTGCTCCCACTGCCCTCATCCAGGCAGAATCTCAGCCCAGGGGGGATTAGGAGAGCAGGAGCTTTGGGAAAATCCCTTTTCCTGTGAAATCAAACAAAAGCCAGAGATAAGGCTGATGTACCCTGGTGGGTACAGCCACCCTGGCTAAAAGCAGAAGTGGCCATGGGCATCAGCTGCAGTTTGGGATTGACCACAAACCCCAGCCCCAGCAGCATGAAGAGGCTTCGATCATCTGATAGGGTGAGCAATCCCCTGTCCCACCAGGGACATGCGAGAGGAATGAGGGCAGAAGTTGTTGTGGGGGGAGGTTGAACAAGAAATTCTCTGTGCAGGAGCAAAGGTGAAGCAGGATGATGAAAAGGGGCTAAAAACGGGGATTAGGAGAGAGCTGCTGCAGGGAAATGTCAGCCTTTTACCCACCACTGGTGAGAACTGGCTCAGGTTGTCCTGCCTCAGCCCAGCTCCTCCCAGCGCCTGCCCTCTGGGGGAAAAAACAGATTTTTCTGGCCAGACAGGTCCCAGAATTACACCTGGAGAAGAGGGGGAGGAAGATTTGTCCTGCTGGGTGCAGTGATCCTCCCTGAGATCCCATCAGGGTCTGCAAGGGGAAAAAAAAAAAAATCTACAAAAATGCTGGAAGTAGAAAAGCAAAAGCCAGTGGTCTTGGAGGGATCCCAAAACCTGGGCACGGGGACCACCATCAACTGGGGGGCTGCTGGTTCAGGATGAGGGAGGGTTCACAGATGGGGGACACCCTGCTCCCACTGCACAGCCCAAATCCTACAGAATGCTTGGCAAAGGCACAGGACCTGCCCTTGCACGTTGGGAAGCAGAGCTCTGCCTTCACGGCCGTGGCCAAGCAGGTTCTCCCACTCCAAAGAGCCCTGGGCACCCGCCTGGTGCTGGGGTTTCTCCATGGGGGCAGCTGAGATCCCCAAAATCCCATTTACTGATTGAACACATGCTCCTGCGGATGTCACGAGCTCTGTCCCCTCTTTTTGGGATGTCTCTGGGGTGCCCGTGCTGCTTGTGAGGGCTGGGTGGGACCCCTGCGGGCTGGGGGCTGCAGGGATGTGGCACCGAGGGGCTGGAAATGCTCGTGGTCCCCACCCTGCCCCTCTCCTCCCTGGAAAAGGAGACGAAGTCACACTGAGCTCCTCAGAGGCATCCCAGCCCCTCCTCACCCGTGTCCAGCTCCTAAATCCGCTTATCCCATCCCACGATATCAGAGCAAAGTCCGGCATGGCTCCAGGGATGCTGCCACAGCCCCGCCCGGCTTTTGTCCTCATCCCTCAACAATTCCCCAGCGGGGACGCAGATAAAAGGTCCCGGGGCGGTGGCAGAAAGGAACCGAGGGGATTCTGAGCCAGAGGAGAGGCCAAAAGTCAATCCCAAACTCCAGCAGCGCAGGAGAACCTTGTTCTCCTTCCCCATCGGACCCCGAGCCGGGGACACTCGGCAGAGCCGGGAATCGAGGGCGAATCCATGGACATCCCAGCGCCCGCCCGCGGCTCCTCCAGCCCCGCCGGCATCTCGGCCCCTTTCTGCTGATGTCACGGAGCGGGGCCCCGCAGCCGCCTTCCCGGGGAGGGCAGGGATCGGCCGCCCCTTCCCGGATCCTCCTCTCTCGCCTCTCCCCTCCCCGGGCCGGCTGCAGCGGAGCCGGGAGCCGCGGCTGCCCGGCAGGTGAGTGTCCGCAGGTGAGTCCTGGGGGCAGCCGAGACCCGCGGAGCAGCAGCGAGGGGAAACTCCATTTTGAGTTTAGAAACATCTGGCCTCCCAAAAAAGCTGGCGAAAACACTGGGAAGTTTGTGTGTGCTGAGACACGAGGCTGTGTCTGTGCCCAGGATGCTGCCCGCGGCTGGGCACGGCTGGCAGAGGGGGCAGGGGGGCTGGAGCCTACAGCTGGGAGCTCCCCGCTGGTGTTCCAAGGGGAATGGTGCAGGGCTGGCCAGCGCATCAGGGAAAAATGCAGGGACGAGGCTGCCAGGGTTTCCATCCGTGTCTTGACCGCCGGTGTCGGACGCTGCCGTGGGGATGGGGCTGCTGGGGGATGCTGGTGCCACCTGACGAGGGGGTTTCGGGGGTTCTGGCCAGGCTCCGAGCATGTGGGGACACTGGGACATAATGGGGACACATCCTGGAGGGACATTTCGGGGTGCTCCTGGCCGGGGATGCTCCCTGGGCTGTGCTTGAGGCACCAAGGAATTCCTTCTGGCTGGGCTCTTCTTTAATAAATTTAATTTTCACCAGGACCCCAGGCTTGTGTGCCAGGCCTAGGGGGAGGGACTGCGCTGGAGAGGGGGTGGGAGAGGCAGGGAAGTGGCTCCCAGCAACTTTGGATGGTGATGAACCGGCGAGTCTAGGCGTGCTGCGGCTCCTCGGGAGCGGGCGGGGACGTGGGCTGGGCTTGGCATGGGGGTTTTCTGTCCCCGCCGTGCCTGGGACACAAGTGCTGGCATGGCACGGGCCTGATGCTGGCACGGCGAGGGCACAGCGACATCCCGGGGTGGCAGCAGGGACAGGACTCCAGGGTGCCATCCCCACAGCCCCGTGAGCCCCTCTCGCCCCACAGGGCCTGTCCATGGATGCCAGCAAGAAGGTGGATCTGAAAATCATCATCATCGGAGCTCTGGGGTAAGGAGCTGGTGAGGGAGGGAAGCCCCCTGCGTGTGCTGGGTGTCCCCTGCCCACCCCAGCCTCACCAGTGCCCCTTTCCTTGTCACCAGTGTGGGCAAGACCTCCCTGCTGCACCAGTACGTGCACAAGACGTTCTACGAGGATTACCGCACCACGCTGGGCGCCAGCATCCTCACCAAGGTCCTCGCCGTGGACAGCACCCCCCTGAAGCTGCAGGTGAGCGGGGTGAGCTGGCACTGCCCGCAGTGCCCACCCTGATCCCAGCCCTGTGTGTCCCACCCTGGCCTGCTGTGCCCAAATGCCACCACGGTCATGAGGTGCAGAGCCCCATTTTCAGAGCTGATTTTCAAGATGATTTTCAGAGCCAATTTTCAGAGCCTGATTTTCAGAGCCCGATTTTCAGACCTGGTTTCAGAGTCTGATTTTCAGCATCCAGGAACTGCACTAGAATCCCACAGGAATTCTGGGGGCTCAGCACCCCCTGAAGCTGCTCCTCTGGGCTACAGCACCAACCCTGCTCCTGTCATGTGCCCTCCTCTGCCCTAGATCTGGGACACAGGGGGACAGGAGCGATTCCGGTCCATGGTGT